CGTTCAAAGCTACAGTGTTACCAACTTGGATATATCTGTTTTTTAATTAACCAGCTGTCCCTCCTACGCACGGCAACCCTCAGACGTCTAAACTCGTGCGAGCCGAGGTCCTACCTTTTAAAGTTTGAATCCTAGCATATATTTATATATTTCTAGGTTAACAACAGCAAAACATTTCTACAATTCATGCCGGAATTAGAGAGCTCGCAAATGAACATACCAATCGTAATATTGATGCCCGAACAAGGTCCGTATCGAATAACTAAATCAAACCACCCGGAACATAACCAGTGTATTGTGTGTCACGTTTCTATAGACGTGACATCAACATTGTTCGTACCGGCAATTTTATCATTGACACGCATACAATGAGGGATGAATATTATAATGGCCTCATTATGACAAAAGTTAGTTTTATCCAGACAAAGGAGGGCCCTCTCAGTGATTCTCTTTTTACCTGGTGGGCGTGCTTCCATTATCTCTCCAAGGAATGGAATGGAGGGTTTCGAACGTTCCGGCGAGATAATTTATAAGAGACGAGTGCGAGAGAGTCGCATTCGGAGGTCTCGAATTCAAGCAATTGCTAGAAGAATTTCGAATTGAATCGAATGGCAGAGAATTTGACGTAGGCTATAGAACAACTAATACGTTGAGTAAATTCATTGAAAACAATAACGATATAACTTTAGTGTTAGATAGAACTGGAGTAAACAAGTTGACTTGTAGTTCTTGTCCAAAATTTTATATTGGATAAACCGGAAAAACGTTTTCCAAAAGAATAAGAGACCATCGAAGTAGTGTTTTGAATGGGAAGGCCAAATCAACATTTGCGAAACCTCTTGTGACAAAATTATGAAGTATTGCGTTTGGAAGAGAAATATTAAAAACTCAACCTGTTTAAATGTTTAGAAATCAATAGATGGAAAAATAGGATTGTTGCCCAATGGTCAAACAGATTTGAATTGTTCCCGTTTATTAGATTCAGTTTGCAAGGAGGAAATTGGACAGATCTTAAAAGTAGGTAAAATGATTGCTAGACATAAACTCCCACTTCACAAATATTATTTATCATGCAAAATCTGATCATCATGAAACATTCATTGAAAGATATACTTAGACCTTTAATGGACCTACTTTGAATTTTCGCAGAGTGACACTACTCCAGACTCAACAATACATCAGTGGTATGAAACGTAACGGTGCTGGATTTGACAGCATTTCTCTCATTATGTTGAAGTATATTTAAAATCATCTTATCAACCTCATAACACACACATTCAATTCCTCTATATAAACAAATCATTCTCCTTCTGCACGGAAACATGCAATTGTACTCCTTTTGCCAAAATGTGAAAATCCAACTGAATAACCCCATTTGAGGCCAATTAGCAAACTGCCTATCCTATCTAAGGTGTTCGAGCAGATTGTGAAAGATCAAAATGGTTCTTTTGTTTACAATAATAATTTAATAACAGATGTTTAATCTGGATTTCGTACATTCTTTAGCACCACCACCGCTCTTGTCAACATCACCCGAGAACAAATGATAATAATGAAGTAACTGCCATGGTACTCTTGGACTACAGTAAAGTATTCGATACATTAGACCACAATATTCTGTGTAGGAAAATGTCATTTCTCGGATTTAGTGAAGGGACTGTAGATCTATTGAAAAGTTACCTCAGAAATCGGACTCAGTCATTTTACAACTCTATCTAACAATATAACGCTCTGCTCAGTGAATTTAGACACGACTCCATATACAATATCGGAAGTCTTCTGGATAGATAATATATTCATGTTATGCCTTGCTCATATGGTTTTCCCTTTGTCTAACTCTTGTGTATGTTTTGCTATATATTTTACCTCATTTAAGCTAAATAGATATTTAATATTTACTTTGGGATTTATAACCTTTGTTTTTTTTTCTTAGTTTCACAAAGATTCTTGAGCTACCCATTTACCAATGTATACTAGGTAATTATTTTTATATTTCTATCTTTGTATCTAAGTACTTGTTCTATATACACAACGTATGTCAATGAATAGAGCTCATTTATTATCATTATAAAAATTGATAAACAAATGAATATTTTTTGAGAAAAATTAAAATTCCCCTCGTTTCTTCAACAGACTTCGTATACCAATTTGAAATGAGGTTAGAAGCTATCTCAGATTCTTGATTGGTTTTCTGTTTGCTCCGCGTTTACTGTTTTCAGCAACGGAACAACTCATGGAATATCACAGAAAATCGTCTCAAATTCAGTATAAAAATAAAATATATACTGGCTTGTGTCTTCATGAAACCTTCAAAGACAGTAACTTACCTCAAACAGCTGCCCCGCTGTCGTAGAATTCGGATTGCATAATACGTCCAGCTTCTGCCCGTTCAGCAGGAGCACAGTCACCGTTTTCCTGCTGCTACCTTTCTGGTCGGTCATTATCAGCTGTTTGTTCGGCAGGGAAGCCCTGACTACGAACTCCGGCCCGATAACCTCTCTAGTGGTTTGCGTTCGGTTAGACCTACCCGGCGGGAGTTCGCTGCCTACTCTGTACAGACGCGAAGCAGCTCTCTGCACGGGGTTCTTTCGAACGCGCAGTCTGCGGTTGTTGACCTGAAAGGAAAAAAAGCGGCATGGCGTAAAAATTGGGAGCATCCAGGGATTTTTGGGCGATTGAGCAAAAATATGAAATAGAAAGGTTCAAAATCCTAGATCCAAGCATCTGTTCTCCGTTTCAATATTCTTCTCTACTCTGCTTTCTCCTTCTTAGTATCATCACTATCTTTGTCAATTTTATTTTATCAGCTGGAGAGAAATTCCTTTCGATTTAGCATATCGATAGATATTTGAAGGTGATTGTTGTTTTGTTCTTTATTTTGTAAACGACTTTGTCAATGAGAATTATATTCTCCAGACAATAGAGTATATTTTGATTTGATTTGAAATTAGAGAAAATAAAAAACTAAAAGTATAGCCATCACCCAGAGAAGTGAGAGGAAATGAAGGGGATTGACCACAAAAAATGATAAGTCAGTTGAAACAGAATTTCCAAGCTGAATTTGATCGATGACATAGGTTTTTTTGGCTTAGGTCGCCACTGTGATTTGTGGCTCATTCACATACACCTGCGACTCGAGAAAACCCCACAAGAAAAAGTCTAACGGTGTCAAATCGTACGATTTCGATGGTCAGTTCACAATACCTCCACGTGGGATGACTCTGCCCTCAAATCACTCCTGCAGAATATCTACTTGATATGGGATGGGCTGTGCGGCCCATCGTGTTGTTGGTGTCCAAATCATCCAATTCAGGCCCAAAGAAGTTTGTATTCATCGACGTATAGTGCTTGCCGTCGACAGTGATGGCCTGGCCAACATCTGGCCAGTAGTGAGACTGCTATAGTGTTCCCAGATCTGAAGCAGGTTCTGATGTTATACTTGGACCCAATCCTTCTTATCCTTCTACCATCTTCTACCATCTCTCTGGAGTAACCATTCCGTTGAAGGTCATTTTTGATGATGCCTATTTCTTTTTCGAGACCTTCTTTTGAATTACAAAGCTCGAAAGCACGGTCCTCTTCANGACGCACCCCTCCGAGGGGGTGCGTACTACAAAAAATCTGATTAGTCTGAAAGGTGTCCCCCTTTAATTAGAAATCGACGTGTCCGATCTTTTTTTAAAAATCCTACTTTTTATATTCAAAAACGGCTCTGTTAAGTTTTCGTTGTTACACACTGTATATTTTGATAACAATCTCAATAAATCAACTGCTCTACGGAAACCTGCCAGAAACATTCCTGTTTTGTTTTCAACATAATAACACGAGATTCCAAATCCAGAACAAAAACATCCTCAGTACTCTGCAGGAGTAGAGAGGATTTTTGACGCAAGTTGCAACTTTATTTGCGGAATACTCGAGTTTAATATCGACTACGTTGGTTTTCTTCCCGCAAGCGATTCGAGAAAATATTGACAATGCCGCTGTATTCAGAGCAGAATAAGAAGAGAAGCCTCGATGAAAATATTTCTAACGTTTGCAATTGAAGAGTGGGATGTTTTATGTTGACATAAGCAGATTCGGATATTATTACTGTTGGAGATGGAGGAGATGGAAGCTTACATTTTTTTAAGATCAACGAAAGCATCGTACATGAAGCCTTTAAATTATTTGTGAGATGAGATATTTCAAATTTTGTAATGCAAAAATAGAAAGAAAGAAGAGTTTTACAATAAACTGACAGTGGGATACGGAAAACACTGAAAAAAAAGAAGAAAAACACAGATACTTCGGCTAGTTACTTGTGAACTAGGTGTTTGACAAAATTCAGCTAGAATGTGCGATGCATTATTGAACCTATGAACTAATTCATACAAAAATGTGATGCTTTGATCAATTCCTCTCACAGAATGACCATCAACCTTGAAATACAGAAAAATTTCAAATAAATTCGCTGGGCATTTTCCAGAGGACTGATGTGCACATTATACAGTGCATTTCTTTAATGCCCCACCTTTATTTTTTAACGGATCTACTCAATAAACTGAAATTTGGGATAATGAAATTAATGCATAAAGATGGCGCCTAGTCGCCATTTTGAAAGTTTCATCTGTCAATTTCACTTCAAAACAAAGTATCCATGCATTAATTTCATTATCCCAAATTTCACTTTTTTGAGTTAACCGGTTCAAAAAATTCAAGGGGGTGGGACATTAAAGAAATGCAATTTATGCTTGACAATTGACAGCTTATTGTCAAATATTATTGGGCAAATGAGTCAATTGCAGCAAGGTTGAATCACGACTGGATGTACATACTTTGCAGTTTGATATATTTATGTGAAATTTATCATTCGACCACCAAGTTTCAACAATGTTCACTTGAGATTAGAGCAGTGGTCGCCAACCTCTTCAATGTGTTGAGCTACTTTGTTAATTTTGGAATAAACAGCGAGCTACCCACACGGAAGCCACGTAACGCAACGTAAATGAAATAATCCACAGTTAATTTATCATTATATGTATTCATTTTACTATTTAACTGGTAATACATAATACATAGGTACTAATAATAAACTAATAACAAAATAACTAATATTACTAGTACGTACTTGTTCATAGCTACATTCCTACCTATCAAACGAAGGTGTTTGAAAAATAAACACAAACTTT